AAATTATTTTAAACTAGAAATTATTAAAAAATTTTCTTTTTAAATCTTAGATTTGAAAATTTTTAATAATCTATAATATATCCTAGACAGATAAACCGTCTTCGTTCAGAATCGTTTTTCGTATACAATGATATAATAGCATTGGATTCAAATTTAATTCCATCCATTACAGTAACCCACTACTGTACAGCAGTGCGACATCCACGACTTACCCGCCTTTTTCAATTTGTTGGTGCAACTTAAAAAGTGCGCGTATAAAAATCTGATAATTTCATAATATTAAGCATAAAAACATAATAATTAAAAAAAAAATTTAGCAAATTAGTTTTAAAATTCTAATAGAGCTTCCACAATTTTTCCAGTATTTTTTAGTAATAACTTCCATTTTAAAAACAAACATCCGGTGTTCATTTTGACAAATATTAAAAATAATGAGCATGGGTTATGCTAGCACTTCATGTATTCCTCTATTTACACTGTGTTATTATAAAGTGTGAACAAAGTGAGGTTAAGTTAGGTTAATAACTACGTTGTAGGTAATAACTATTATAAAATTGTGTACACTATCTATTACAGCAACGGTCAAGCTAAAAGATTTTTAAACAACATACCTTACCTGCTTTTATTATAATTATCATTGCACATAAGTGTATTAACAAAATAGAAAATAGCTGATATCAACGTGATCTGTATATTATAACAATAAAATGCGATATAATATGAATTCGACTATTCTAGTTGTCGTGATGTTGTGGACTGTAAGCACAACAAATACCGATTGTAATCAGATTTTATCACAATGTAAAATTATAAGCAAAGGCAACGGTTCCGGTTAAATTTTTGTAATGCTTATATAATATAGTACCTTGTAATACATACAAAATACATGATATCGGCGTTTTTAGTGAAAAAAAAWAATTAAAAATGCACTATGATAATTGATAAGTGATGTCGAGATTATAATAATATAGAGTATAGTTCCATAGTAGATCGTATTTATTAGGCGCATAAAACTATAAAGTACAAATCTGTGTAAGTACACTCTGTATATACAAACACACGTCACTCATGAGTAAAACAATATAATATACAAGTATTATACACATGTGTACCTATAGTTTAGCAATAATAGTTTATAATATAGATCAGCGATAAACACAAAATGATAATCGACGGTGCCGCCTTGTCCACGACCACCCACGTTTGTCCGGGACGTAAATAAAACCCTTATACCAATCCGGACACATTTCATAATTCAAAAGGCTGAATAAATAACGCACTCGCGTGGTGGGATTTATTGAACCGCACTATGCACGTACCCGTGTTGTAGCTACTTAATGTAGTGCGTTATGGCGTTGTTGTTAATGACAAACTCTCGCGTCTAAATGGACACGGTCGATAGAATAATAATTGTTTATCGATCGCGATGCAATCGTTTTCCGAAAATGTAATCTATTTTATGATTAGATACTAAATTTGAATTTAAAAACTAAAATATCTTATATGAAAATATATACTTTCAATTCGCATTATAGATAGGTAGGTAGATGTCCAAATTAGCTTTGTTTTTCGGGTATTTTTAATTTACCGAATAAATAATAATAATAATATCTTTTATAGTATCACATATTGTGATATTTAAAATTTATAATTGAATATTTTAAATTGTGCGTTTYTGTTTCATGAAAAGGTATTTGATAACATGATTTACAATGTATAACATTTATTAATTATCAACTCAATACCTAGTTAATAAATTAAAGTTTAAATTTTTAGTACAGAAAAATACTTAACTTTTGTACATTTGTTTTAAAATTAAAATATTTTCAATTTGTAAAATATTTTCAATTTGATTATTTAATATTTGATTTTTAATTTAAAAGATTGGAATTAATTAAAAAGTGAAAAGAAATCGTTTACAAGAAGGTACATTGTATAGTGAATATAAATGATGCTTCAAAAATGTCATTGCTTAGAACCTATGATGGCCTTAATTTTGCCGGTAAGCCTATTAAACCTGCAAACTCGTTTATTATTTATTATTGGAATTGATAATTTCTAAATATAAAATAATAATTATATTAAAATATTATAAGTAATAATGTATTATATAAGTTTATTTAATATTAATTTAAACAGTACTTTGATATAGATTGTACCTAATAATAATTATACTAACAGTGTTTTTTAAATATACCTATTGCAATTATGCCATATTACTGACACCTTCAGTGATTTTTGGAGACTAATATAATAATTATTTTCAATTATAACGCAGACAACGAGGTGCTGGACAAAGTGCGTGAGAAACTCGTGCACATCGAAGCGGAGGATCAGCAGCCCGAAAATAATAACCAACATCCAATTCAAGCAGATCAACAGCAACAGCTTACACAATCACAGCCCCCAAAGCTCCAACGTAATCATCATCACCATCAGCCACCCCCACTGCAACACCATCACCATCATCAGCCGCCACCACTGCAACACCATCACCATCATCACCACCATCACCAGCAGCATCTCTACCACCACCTCCGACGGCCATCGAGAAATGAAGAGCCACGAGACACAGCGGCGACGCTACGCAAGTGGAAAAAGTCCAATGTGGTCCGACATCAGTCGTCTGAGTCCGAGTCGTCTGATCAGTCAGAAGCAATACCGGAAATTCGTGAAACAATCCAACCTCAGATCACCACTGCCTTGCACGTTTCCGGAACACATCACAAGACCACAGCCGCTGAACTTCCAGTTGGAAGCACTGTCGCTGAGGATGGAAGTCCCTTGACCGTCATAGAACAGCCAGTCAAGCAGAGGGCTAGGCTTAAGTTGGCGCAGATATTGTACAAAGAGGCGAGAAGGAGAAGACAAAAATACGTCGAGGAGCTGCAAAATCAACAAGAATAAATAAAACACTAAATATTTACACCGTAACTMGTTTGCGTGTCACTTTTGTTTAAAAAATACATACTATAGTATAATATTATATATTTTAATAAAATAATAATTATGGCACTAATAATATATTTTTACCAGTACCAAAGTCGTGTGGTTTTCTGATAAATTCATATAAATATATTTATTTATAAAACATATATTNNGGGGGGTCAAGCGATAGCAGTTAGGGCATATTATTTGAATTTTGCTGATGAGTAATTTATTATAATTACTTTATGGCAACATTTATAGAAATACCAAACTTATTACCAAATCTTTTCACACCTTTCAGATAATAATTAATATATATATTTCAAGTATCATGAAGATTGGTCCAGTATTTATGTAAGAGATAACAATAACAAATCTATAAGAAAGAAAAACTATAAGAAAGAAAAATAACAGTTTGTTTACACCCAATATCAAAAATGGTTTGTGTATAATTATTATTCTTATATAGGTATAAACAAAAATGGCTCTAAGCTAGGATTAATAAAAAAAAAAATTATAAACTTATTATAAACTTATTATAAAACTACATATTATAAATTTGATGTGTATTAAATTTATTGAAAACGATTTGACGTATGATTGAAATCAATTAGTTGAATTAAAAAAAAAAAACTAATTACAAATGGATACAAGATACATCTATAAAGATGTACAGACGATAAAGATGGGTCCCACAGCGGTCAGCCCTTGGCCTCATCTTGTTTAATATTTTTTGCTATGATATCCCAGTTCCACAGAAATGTCGATTAGCAATGTACATAGATTATACTGTTATTTTAACACAACATAAACATCTTAAAAACTCAATAACAGATCTTTAAATTCATTTAGACCAAATTTCAGACTGGTCTACAAAATGGAAACTCGCTCTTAATCCAATTAATAACGAAGCGCAAATATTTACCCTAATGAGATATACAAATCCAGATAAATTAAAAAATATAAATATCATTATTAAAACCTTTAATTATATATGCTTGACCAATATGAGCAGCCACAACCCAAACGAAAATTACAAAATTACAAAGTATACAAAACAAATTTCTCAGGACAGTTATTAAAGCCCTGTGACGCATGTCAAACACACCAATCCACAACGACACTGGAATATGATGCCTAAGACCTAACCACATGGATCAAGGAACAATTTTAAATAGTTCATTTGAAACTAAAAACAATAAAAGGTGCCCTTTACTTCAACATTGGGAAAGAACCAAAAACCGCAGACTTAAGCCACGGCTACCACAAGATGTTTTACTTGAAGCAGTTTCAACTCCAGAAGAGAACCATCCAGACTTATTAATCAAGCTAAAATGTATCCGGAAAACTTATTTATAAACCTTAATTAATCAACTTTATAATGATATTGTAAAAATACTTAGTGTATTGAAACAATTATATTAAGAAACAATAAAAAAAAACTATGATCTACATTTTAAAACTATTTTATCTGTATTATGTTGCATCTAACCAGTTGGTGATAACATCGTACCGATAAATGATTATTACTTATTATTATTGTTTATTTATTTTTACTATATAATTATTAATTAAATCATTAATTAAAATAATAAAATGTATAGTATAATGTTTTTTAGTATTCATACCTGTTTCAGATTTTAAATAAACTTATCTAACCTAACCTAACCTTTTAATAGTATAGAAACYCTTTTGTTAGTAACGTAGTCTATTTCTTAGAAAAGAGCATTGATAGAAAATTAAAATGTACAATTTTAGTTGTCAGGAATATTTGAGGGAGGGGAGGGGGTGATATTCTAAATCTTTCATTTTTGAAGTGTGTTGAAAATCTAACAAGCTTTTCGGGAATACAAGCAATAATATTTATTGAATTATTATTTGTTATTATGACAAATCTAAGAATTTATTTAACAATACTACTATATTAATAATTTAGAAAAAAATATATAAGTATTGGATACTTATTGATTATTTTACAACATTTTATACTTTTATAGATTATAATATTTAAAATGTGGCCTGGTATGGCGCGGTGTTAGGCCGTCCCAAACGTGTTCTAAGGTTAAACATCAGCCGGTGTCAATAGTTGAGTGACCACCCAGGTTTTAGTGACAAAGCCTCGCTACATGTATACGTGTRCTAACCGACCGTACCCCCTCCTCCACAGTTTAAACCCTACTAAATAAATTTCAGGCTAATGACGATAGATTTTATAACCTTAACTCAAAAAAAAAATATATATATATATTAAAAATTAAATCAAAGAAAAGTACAATTAGATAAAAAAAAATAATACTAATATATTAGTTAATATTTAAACATATTTTTATCTTTACTATTCTTTTTGAACTAATACGATTTATTACATGGGTACCACAATATTCAGTAAATTACATGGCAACCATGAATGACTGAAATAGTTATATCTACATATAT